TTACAGTTTCATGGTGTGTCTAAGCAGTAATAAATGACTTGCTTCAATTATTAACAGTGCACAGGTAACTTCAGTGCTCTGCTTTCCTTACTCACCTAAAAAGCCCAATATAAAAATGTAGAGCCCCCTCATGTATAATTCTACTCACTGAAACAAAGCACACGTGGCAGAAAAATAGTTTGAGATTTTAGTCCAACAACTGGCAATGCTGTACGTAATTTACACTGAATTACAGGTTCAGGTAAAAAGCAGTAACAGTAAATGTTGAAAGGCTGTGAATCTATTACACAACTGTACAAACATCTGTACAAAGCTCATATAAATTTTAGGCATATTAACAGAATTAAAAGAAAGCCCCTCTCGGTCCTCAAATCCTGGGTGACTTTATTTTTTTGAAAAAACAAACAGATGATCAAATAAGCAACGATGGAGTAGGCTTCTTGCCAGGCCAGGCCTCCTTAGCGTATTTCTTTTTCTTCGGCTCATTAATGGATTCTGCATTGAACACGCCAGTGTTGGGAACAGGGTTTATAGTCACAGTTGCTGGTACAACTGCTGGTGCCAAGTCCACTTCTGGAGCTGGATTTGGGAATGGCATAGGAAGTCCTCCTAGCATTGCAGTTCCCATTGTATTACCATGTAGCTGAGAAGAAGAATCACCACTAGTTGGGGGGAGGCCACCATATAAACTAGCGTTGAATGGGAAATTCTGCATACGCCTAGCAACTCCATCTTCCAGACCTAGTGAACTGGGACTCTCGGTCTTCTTTTTCTGAAATTTTTCCCATAAAAATAAAATGATTACATTTTGGAAACAATACTTAGTGTTCAACTCAGGGTTTTCTTATCCAAAATAGAGGAAAGTATTTAAGGTAAAATAACGTGCGTGCGCCGGTAAAGTGTTTAAAATAGCCATAACACAAAGGCTGCTACTTAAAGAACAAACAGTCTTGTACCAGTAATGTTTAGCATGTCAAGAAACTGTTACATAAAAACCACTATCCAGTGTATGTGCCTCCTACCCAAAATAATCCTGCAGTTAGTTTTACAAGCGTAGTAATGGTTGCAACAGAATAAATCATTAAAAAGACAGCTGAAATGACAGAAGTTAGATTTATTGAAAAAAGGTCTCTCATATTCTGCTGATAAACACAATGTTAAATTCTAACACTGTGGTCAATTCTAACATTGTTTGGAAGTGAGGTAGCTCAATCTGAAACAAGGACGCTAAATTTGAATAAGGGAAATTATGAATTAGGCACAAGTTAGCTGAGCTGGACTGGGAAAATATATTAAAACACATGACTGTACACAGGCAATGGACAATATTTTACAGAAAACTCTTACATGGCTTTTGGCAACTACACATTCCTTGAAGATGCAAAATCTCAAAAAAAACGTCAGTCAACCTTGGCAGACAAAGGAAGTTAAGGATTGTACAAGATTTTAAAACAAAAAGCTTAGAGTTGCCACAAATAGTAATAAATCTGAGGAATGGGAAGTATTTAAGAATACAAAGGAGGTACAAGAAAATGAAAATGGAGGGAAGAATATGAATGCAAGTTACTTAAAAACAAAAAAATGGAACACATAGGTTTTGAAAAGGTACATAAAAAGGAAACTTTTGGCTAAGATGTACATGGGTCAGGAGAATTGGGAATGGAGAAATGGCAGAGTAGCTAAATGATCGCTGTGTTTGTTTGCACTAAGGAAGATGCAGGGAATCCCCCACAATTAGAGATCCAAGTGACTGGGAAGGGTGAGGCGATGAAAGACATTAATAAAGGAGGTTGTACTGGAGAAAACAATGGAATTGAAAATTGATAAGTCACTGGCACTCTGCAGTCTACATCCCGGACTGCTGAAGGTGGTGGCTGTAGAGACTGTCTATGCATCGACTATCACCTTCCAAACATTCTGAGATAACACGGTGTAGAGCTGGATGAACACAGCAGGCCAAGCAGCATCAGAGGAGCAGGAAAGCTGACGTTT